GCTCTTTGAGTACTTATTGAAAATATATTGCTAATAAAATAAATACTATGAATTCCTACATGAAATAAACAATGGAACTTAGAATCTTTTTCTTTATTCCAATTCCACCTTAGAATTTTTTTCTTCCAATTTAAATATCTACCAATTTGTCCTTCCCCCATTTTCTTCTCAGTATGGCCTTTGACACCATGGAAGTTGGTGTTGAGGGTTTGCTTTTTTGCAAAATGCAAGATTTTTGCAATAATGGCAAATAGATTTTAAGTAGGAATGACATTAGTTATTAAGTGAGCTCATTTGTACCTGGTACATATCTATTTTAATATATATATATATATATATATATATATATATATATATATATATATATATATATATTAAATTTATTAACAATTTATTTTACTTAAAATATAAAAGGTAGAAAATTTGTAATTTATTTTAGTTAATTTGTTTAACTTATGTCCTAAATGTTACAAAATTGTAATTTAGCTTATAAGAATATCTGCTTATATCAAAAAGACTTCTGAAGAAGAGGAAAAGTGCTTCTCGAAACTGGGAGATAGTAATGTTTAAGAAAGTTCGACACTACATTTCAATAAAATTACAAATCAAAAATGTTATTTTAATAACCTTTTGGCTTTCAATAAGTACAAATATGACTCTCTAAAATAATACTACACAAAAAGTCTAATTAAAACCCTAAGACAGAAGGTAGAGCAATATGAATGTTTTCACATAAAATACCCTACTAATTGGCCAAGTACACTTTTTTACCTTTTTGAATGCAACTGAATGATGTCTAGAACATATGACCCATTCCTTACTCTCCTGGCCATGATGGTGACAAAACAAATATTAATCAAGATTTAATGTATATTTTTCTAGATAAATATTAATTATGTATTTATAATAATATTATACAGATATATTATATTTAATATTTCTGTATTCCATTTCACAAGAGAAGGAGGAACCCTATCAAATTATGTACCAAGAAAAAAAAGAAGAGGACATGAATAAGGAGAATCTTACTATTTCTCTTTAGTTGGTAATTATTAAAATTATAACATAGAAATTTAAAAAAAGGGTGAAACTTATTTATTACAGAATGATTGATTCTATGCTAAAATAAATACAACTACACTCAAAAGCACGACTGGACCGAGTTATTGGAGGGGGTGTCAGGGGAGTAACCTACTGTAAATGATCATGTTATTATGGAGTAAATATTAAAAACTAAACAGCAACCACCTAGGCATGAATGCTCATGTATGTTATTCATCTCTAGTAACTATCTTTTAAAATAAATTTAAAAAATTCTAAATTTGAGGGTGCAACAAAAACAGAAATTGTACATGAATAAAACTTTATTTGTCATCACTATAATGAATGGCCTTTCATCCTTCATTCCCAATCAATTACTGATATAGGAACAATACACTTTTGTTAAGGTGTTGCCTAAACATTACTTTGTGGAGTGTCAGACTGTAAGAAGTTGCTACATGGTGCAACCTAATTCTCATGTATAGGCTCACTATAGCTTTCACCAATAAAATAATATGGTTTTCAGGAAACAAATTGTCACTGGCAAGAATTTATCAAATTTTTTCTTGCAGTTATACGCCGCACAACTCTTAACCATATATACTGCAGTAAACACCCAAAGACAAACATTAATTCGTTATTAGTCGTCAGGAAGTACTAGCAGTCTGAGTACAAGGGATATTCTTCCCACGTTCTAAGCACGTTTTTCTTCCACTACAATGGCGGCGGCCAACCTCTTCAAATTATTCCGCGACAGCAGCGTTATAAGTGTCTAGTTTATTTCTAATGTGTTTGGGAAAGCGAGGACATTGTTCAAGAAAAGTTGCGCGGGTAGAATATGCAGACAGACGGCTTACTTAATACACACGCTACTGGTCACGTGAATGTTAATAACGTTTTACGCTGCGCTCTGCAAAAATTGTAAAAGATGAAAGATTTTCGTGCAAATATGAGATTGTTGTGTACTAGTTTGGACATGTTTGTACAGTATCCTATTGTCCTGGTTTGGACATGGTTGTACAGTGTTCTATTGTTCTCCCTCAATTTGGCAAGCGTTAGCTATGACAGTCTTGGAGAAATTTGAATTAGTTGTCCGAGATAAAGTTCAAGTAATAAATCCGACCGATATTTCACAATCACAGGGGTAGAATATGCAGTGACAGACGGTTTACTTAATACTTGACGATACGGCGTAATCATAAACGCATAAATCGTCATCAACAACGCTTCCACATGTCCGATTCAACTCAAACCAGTCTTTAAACACTCCCGATACTAATAAGAACAAAGTGGGAAAATTTCAGCGAAATCAGTCGAATAGTTTTGTGTCTATGTGCGTCAGGCAATCTATATTTTCCCTGTTACTCGTATATAGATTATGAATATAGGGCTTCAATAAAAAAAATAATTAATTTTGAAATTATCCTAATTCAGAAAGAAAACTTCCATCTTTTACACCAAAAATTATGTTCCGACGGCTGAACCACAAATGCTTTGATCATTCGATAACTGTATTTCCAGCCGTCTTTTAGACTACATGGCAATAAATATTGTCCAAAACTTAAAAAAAATTGCATATGGATAGCTCGACAGAACGAATGTTCCAAGACTTTTCCCAAACATTATACCTAACGGAGTTATTTGCATAGTAACATTCATATAGTGAAATGACTATAAGGCGCTCACAAAAATTGCGACCTTCATTAGTCAAGCCAAAAATGCATGGTAAAGGAATATTATGAAGTTGCTCCCGAACTGGTGGGTAGATAGGGATCCCTGCGAGTCTCCAAGTTTCATATCTAATAAAGAGGACCACTTCTACTACCGCTGCCTCACTACTTCTCAAACCGCTGCCGCCATAGTCTTCATGAATGTTATGTTCAAAGTTTATTGGCAGAGTATATTATTGAAATCATAGTTAGAAGCAATGACATTTTATATACTGAGTTCATCTTGTTAACCTCATACAATAAAAATTAAATTAAAAAACAAACGTAGCTTTGACTAAAATACAGAAAATGTTCTACCCTCTTTTCATAACTCCCTTTCCTTATTCGCCCAAGGACCCTGAAAAATCTCTTGGAGTATAAGCTGTCAGTAGTACACTGTTGGATAATTTACGATATCCCCTCACAAATTTGATATGCCAGAGACGCCTGTGCTTCCTGGTCACTGGAAGAGAGACTCATTGATCAGCCCTCACCACGTGGAGCGAGTGGTTTGGTTGTGAGTAGACGCTTAGATTGATTGGTGATTCCAGGCGCGTCAACGGTTAAGGTGATTAGTCCTGTAAGTGTAGTTTATGTTTTATTACGAGAGGTGGCGGTCTTCCCCCGCTGGATGGCGAGGTCCAGCAGCTACCTACCTGTTGGCATGCGGGGTTTACTCCAACCAGGTATTTCCCACTAGCGGGACATTGTCCCAACCGGAACAAGTTCATAGCTCTCGACATGTGTACGAAAGTGAAGGAACATTGTGTAAGGAAGGGATAAGGATAGCAAAAGGAGAAGGAAGGAATGATCACGCGCGGTCCGCTTGTAAGGTACTGCATTCGCCTAGTGTTGATCGGAACACTCCCGATCAGAGCAGCCGTCGCCAGAATCCTCCTCCAAGCAGCATCTGAATTCGACCAAACTAGTGTCAAAAATCCTGCCACAACAGTCGGGACTCCAATCCTAGGACCACTGCCGGCGCTAATTAAGAGAACGGGCGATCGCCCGGGTCTCGCAAATCAAGGGACCCGGCGATGTGACTGATAGAAAAAAAAATAGTAAATTAGAACCCGTTAGAAAATCGTTATCGTAATTTTATAAGTCGCTGTACAGGAGTTTATATTTTAAAAAAAATTAATTAATTATTAACCTAAATAGTTAATTATAGTCATTATTTGTAAGGAAGGACAAAGCATTCTTATTGTGAACCAACTATTTTCACGATTTTTTTGGTTCACTTTTTCAACCAACCATTCACTGACAAAGGTCACCCACTCTGTAATTTATTTTTGATTTGTGTAACCCACTTTCTCACCGTTCTGTCAACTGCATTCTCGTGAGACATAACGACATTCTTGCATGCCAATCTTATATTTACAATTTTTGGAAATACAGAGATAGTGACCAAAATGGATTCAGCACCACTTCCTTTACCAACATGTTACTAGCGTTAAAAGGACAAAATTGAAGCAGTTTCTGAGAAATTATTTAAAATTGCTTAAGTTTGATGCCAAATTACACAAAAAATACTCATATTTAAAAAAAATTGGACATGACCTTATTTAAAGATCTGTTTCGGATGCACAGATTTCATAAAGGAAAAAAAAAATATCTTCATAATCACAGTGACAGGAAGACTCCAAAAAAATGTAGAAATTTTGCAAGTTTTGCAAAATTAGGGATTTCAACGAACATGAGACCTGTGCCATTCTCTTATGTATCCTTTACACATTTGAAAGACAAAATTTAATCAAGATCTTTGGTGCCAGGTGCTAATTTATGACAAATAATTGTTTAAACCAAATTAAAAATTGGCTATATTTCATTGGGCAAAAATTACTCACATTTACGAAAAATTGTACATAACCTTATTTCAAAATCTGTCTTTAATGAGCAGATTTTATTTAGGGCAAAAATATTACATATTTTAGTTGTAGGAAGACATCAAAAGAAATTTGAATGTTAGCAATTTTCAAAAAACAAGGAATTTCAACAAAAATTAGTCCTGCATACTTTTAAGCATTTGTTATGCTATCTGACAAAATTTAATCAAAAAATACAGTGACATTTTGTAGAAAATTTAGAAAATGCCCCAGTGGCTTTAAGTAATGTGACCCCTAAAATTAAAATACGGTTTCAAATTCCACAGGCTGCGACATCAGCCAAATCGATTGGGAAATAACAATTTTCAAGAAAATTGGCTGAACGGTTTAGCCGCTAGCGTTGTTCACAGACAGACACATGGACAGATGTTTTACCATGAATTGATTTTTAGTATTAAGGACCCACAAAACGGATTCTGGCTACACCATGTATTAGAGGATATTTGGGATAGCGGTTGGGATATTGGGATAGGGTACTTTTCACTGTTGAATCCCAATTCCTATAACTGTGTAAATGTAAATGCTTTTCTCAAATGGAGAATGAAAAATAAATGGTTTAAAAGGTTGTGGCCTGGATTACCACAGGCCTCCCGAGCCCACGGCTGTCAGGCTGGAATATCATGGCAGGCCGTATTCTCTTGAGTGTTTAGTGCCAGAGTATACACTTACATACGTACATACAAAGAAACAAGAGGTTTTAATGAAAATAAAAATCATCCCCTTGTGAATTGCTTCTGTTCAACAATAACACATGTACTCCTCACCAAACTTCTACATTCTCACTATCAATATAATTATAGAGATTTAAAACAATACATTTGTAGTAAATCCAAATTACATTCCAAACCCTATCTCTTGTAAGATTTGCTTATTTAAAACTTCATACTGTCCTTTTGAAAATTCTGTTCAATCAGCTTAATAAATATCTACAATGTACATTCACATTACCCCAAAAAGTAACACTTCTCTTCCAGGTCAATTTACACATTACCACCATTTACCATCCAATCAATGTTAATTCTCAGACATGTCTTTCACAAATCTTTAAATTGATCTCGCGTACTGACTTCTGCTTAACACTTCTGACTTGTGATATCCATTCTAGTCATACATCTGCTTGCCAATGAATTCCATGTCACCTGAATCACATGTCTCTCTTTCTTCACCATTCATTTTCACTTCACTCATTCACTCACAAATCACCTGCACTTTGCTGATGTGAACTATTGAAGTGGAGCATACTACCATATGGGATCATTTCCCAAGATTTTGGGCAAAGATTCCCTGAGCTTGCAAGTATAGTAAAAAATGTGTTTAGGCCAATCAAATATTACATTTAAACAAATTAAAAAACAAACTTTAATAACACATCACATTTTTACAATACTAAAATTAAGCAATTGAATCACTAATTATGAAATCAGAAAAAGTTTGTTGTTTCACTACAAATGTTTACCAAACCACCTCTTGTCCACAGGAGATATCCAATTATGACAGCCTCCAAGATTGTTTTGAACTATGTACTTAAAAGTGTATGGATTTTTATTTTCTTTTTCCAACTTCTTCTCATTAATTTCCTTGTCCAGTAGCATTTGGTGTGTAACAGCTTGAGCTTTAAATGGTAGATTGTGAACAATTAGTTTTAAAGCACGTTTTACCTGCAACAAAACAGACAACCAATGTGATTACTGACAGTGACTGTAAAACAAAGCTTCTCAAAAAACGAAATTTAACATTATAAATTATCTCAAGTAGTTCAGTGAGCACTGGTGAACATTTCCACAAATAGGTAAGAACATGCATGTATACAAGCCTGGAGAAAGGTCCATAATGACTATGAGAGCACTAAAATGGTCCTAACATTTCCCTTTCTTATTTTTCCCGTATTTTTAATAACGTCAAAGAAATATTTGCAAAAACATTCACGAGGTTGAAAAGGCAATGATAGTGTGTGAAATTTTGCTAATTCAAAAACCCAAATCACGGTTTTAACTGCAATGATGTTCATGGAAACATTAAATTTTCTAATGTAATTTTGATAGTAAGTGGTCTAACAGATTAGATGAATTTGTTATTAATTTTTACAAATTTATATGCACATTGAAAAAAGTTTTGATCACTGCAACACAGCAAAATTCAAAGCCTAGATATGTTATTAGCAAGATTTTTAGTTAACTATAAAGGTAAGACGTGGTTTAATTATTAACAAATCTACTACAGGTGATATTTTTGCCTACAGTATGGAAAAAATTTGGTGACTCCCTTTCACTAACTGGCTTTCACTAACTATCTAATATTTGTAACTACAGTCCAATATCACCAATTAGCAGAATTCCTAAATTTTTTAGAGATTAATTATTTGTAAAATAGGAACTTAAGTTGAGAGTATTTGATTGAAGTTCAACATGAATCAAAGAATGGGAAATAAAAAGAATCCAATCTTTGGCTTCCACAAAGGTAGTTTGTGACTTATGGATGGACAGCAAATAGATGTGATTCCGAAGGTTTTGTCAAAATTTTTCGAGATATATTTTCAGAATATATTAATCAGAGAATTAGGAATAATGAGTATAAAGGGAATAAATGGAAATAACAGACAAACATTTATTGGGCTAGTTTTGAGCTATTTGACAAATATAAAACAATTTGTAAAATAGAAAAATAGAAATGACTAACAAGGTTCCCCAAGTTTCCATCCATGGCACAAATTTTACTTATCTTCATTTATGTAATCAGACTGATGTCAAAAACTCAAAAATGTTGCTATTTGAATATGACTATCATAGTTTTTTGAAATATAAAATGAACCAAAAATAACTTATTACACAACACATAAGAACTTAAGAACAAATGTATGGTGTTAAGTTTTTTATAAAAATAAAATGCTATAGAATTCACATACAATTTAACTTAAAGGGAGCAAGTTAAAAAAAAATATCGAAAGTTAAAGATCTGGGAGTAATTGGAGATAAGAAATTAACTTTTATACAAGTGACTCCAGTTAGAGACTTTCTTTGGTGGATGATCATATGTCATCTGTAATTTTGACACTTTCTTTTGAAGGCATAGCATTAACACGATTAGATTTCCCCTTCCATCTTTCAGTGTTTGCCCACAACAAAGTAATTTGTGAATCTGTTTAACTCTCTCATCATTAACAGCATTAATTCTTTGAAAAGCTTTTCCACAAATAAAATTCAAATCATTTGCCTTCAAGAGTAGAAGTAGATGAAAGAATTTGCATGGCTGCACTCTATCTCATGGATGGTGTCTTTTTAGATCACTCTCTATGATCAGTCCAAGCAGCAAAAGTGCCTGATCATTTATGCTTTCCATGTTCAGAAACATGTTAATGAAATAATTAATTTATCTTCTGTAATAATGAGGCAGCTTCTTTAACATTTGAATTTTTTCCTACCACCTTTCTCAGAACAATTTTGCTTCTTCCTCCAGTTACACAAAAATGCTAACGTCAGCAAAGCATCAATTTCTTTTGAGGAGAGGTCCCATACTTTACTATAGTGCCAATGAATGAGAAGGAATATCACCAAAGACTTGGGCTTCGGGTGATTCTGCACTCAGTTCAGAATGCCTACTTCTATTTGTATCGCAGGAAAGACGTCAGATTTTTTGTGCACCATTTGCTAATGCAAAGCATGCATTTTTCACCAAATGTCAACTTGGGTGATCTCGTAATTGAAGATTCAATTGCTGACTTGCTTTATGTGCAAGTTTGTATAGATTGCATCTTACATTGTTTTAATGAGATTGTGTAATGGAGTTGTAAACAAATCAACTCATTGTAATATAAGTAAACAAAAATTAAATTCTCTTCATCATATTAAAATGTTTTAATTCATTACTGGATAAAATCTTTACTTACAAAGCAAAGACATTAAATAAATTAGAGTTTTGGGGGTTGTAATTGATAAATAAATAAGCAAACCTCTTCAAATTCGCAATATCCTCCAACTTCAACAATGACTCGGCCTGCCTTCACTGGTGTAACATAGTGGTCAATAGCACCTTTTCCTCCTCCCATTCTTTGACCTTGTCCCTGTAACATTTTGCAGAGAAACCAATGTCAATGGGATTGTTAAGTCTTAAGGGTGGTGACACAGTTTTAACACAAATGACATAAAATTATGTTTTCTTTAGATTCTATAAATTAAATTAGACATATACACACAGTATGTATGTATTTATGTTATGTTTACATCACAGTTACAGTCTGAAGCTTGTATAGCTCTCAACAAAACAATACGATGGTGATCACCAATGTGTTTGATAAAGAGAACAGTTGTTCCAAACAGAGAAAACCATGGCTGATAAGCAAAGTCAGACACACACACTTAAAAATGCAATGAACGATAATATACTAATTTTTTATTATTTCAAGGATATAAATAAGTACAACAGGTGAGAGCAACGTTTAAAAATCTATCAAAACTTTACATTACAGCAACATTGATACTATACATGTAGATTCGGAACAATCCCATGGTTCCACTATCCTCAGACTGTTATTGAGATTTCTGTTTTAGATTTCTTAATTAATTATATTCAAACTAACATCATACTAATCAGAAACCATAACTTAGTTTGAAGAATTTTATTAAAAAAGGTCCTTCAAAACTTTTTATATCCTAATGCGTCAGGGCCTACATTTCTTCTTCTTCATGAGGGGTTATTATAAAACAATGTTAAATTTTCTAATTTTACGCTTAAAGTCAAAGTTACATAAAACAACTTGAAATTATTATAAATATGTACCAGGTACTAGTGAACTCACCTTAAATAAATTCTGTCATTTTCTGAAATGTATTTCTACACTTTGTAAGGAAAAGTCCCTACATCATTAATGGAAGCCATTTCTCCACTTCCGTTGTGTCAGATGTTGAGATGTAAAAAGGTTCAAAATTAAGAGAACATTTTAATAAAATTGTTGAATCTCAATAATGGTTTCTGAATAATATGTTGTTGTTTTTTTTCAATATGTTTAATTAAAAATGACTGTCTAAAATAAACCTGGACTAAAAATATACAATCCGAAATCTATGGTTAACACTGTCAATAGTGATGAAGGCAAGTAAGTGACAGCTATTTTGTCAGCTACAATACAAATTCTTCCTTTTAAAGATAATTGATCTTTTATGAAGTTTGCTCAGGCAAAAGCAATTTTCTCTAGCACACATCACTCAAGACTAATAATTTTAATTACATTGTTACCAATTTTTATGTTTACATAGCTCAAGAGTAGACAATTTCATTTTGCAAAACTTATCATTTATTTGGGTAGACAAGAAGTAACTTTAAAAAAAAATACAGCTAATTGAAATAAAAAATAGCCCAATATTCAGAAATATAAAATCCACTACAAGAAAACTTAACACATTCAGGTTGCAGCCCTTAGAATCTATGGGTGTGAAATTCATGCTGTATATTGGCTTATATATGTCAATTTTCCATTTGCTGCCTATTCATGGACGTTTCTACATCAATAATGTACCTAAAAACACTGATAAATTTAATTTGCTGGCATTTAAGTGGTATTAAGTAGCTTTGTTTGCAGATGTGCATGACCTCTGCAGTAACAACTAGGGAGAGTTCTCCAAAATTACCACATGGAAGGCAATTATTGAGAATAAAAAGTAAGGTTTTCTTCATTATTGGAATAAACACTAATGTAATATTAAATATAATGTTTAATATTAACAGAATTCATAAGAATTTCATTAAAATAAATATGTTACACATGATTTTAAAGTCACTTTCTTATGTTATTTATATTAAAAAATGTTTTAAACTATTAATGTAAACAGAAAAGTTGGAACTTCTTCTAAAAGTACAAGATCGTTTCTTTACAATAAAAATTGAATCTTCTTTCTATGTTTATTGGTTTAGACATTACAACCCTTCAAATATACCTCAAACCCTTACAAATGGGGAGGAAAAAAGTTATGCTAAGACTACGACCTGAATGTGTTAATACATCTTTCAATAATCAGATTGTTTGGCGATGATTACAGACTATCGTAAAGGACAATTTTACTGGAGTGTACATAAAACATCAATTAACGAAGAAGCTAGTTTTAATCGAATATTAAAAAAAGTTGAACTGTTACCTTTTTGGTGACAGGCTGCCATGGGGGATCAATTCGCCAAATTGCAAATATACGATCAGAAGTGAGTTTCCTGATTATTCCCAGTCGAATCATTTCTATATGGCCCCATCGTAAACGTCCTCCACCAAGTGCCTTAAACATATCATAATTATAAAAAACTTATTCAAAACCCAAACACAAATTATTTCCAATATGCATTAATTAATTTGTGTGAATCTTTATTTTTATTTATAAATTAAAAAGCAATCACATTATTGACTGATGAGCATACCTCACAACGATTAGTGTTAATTAAGGGAAGATGTTACAAAATAGTTTTTGAATATTTTTGTGTTGTACTACTTCTAAACACTTTATTCAAGCAAGACACTTACAATTATGCCATACTGTTTATGAAGCAAAGTATTGTGCAAGGTTTCTGGTCCTCGCATAAATTTAAGATTCTTCATCATCTTAGGTGGTCGCATATTCCCTGGATACTGAGGTACTTTCTCCAAAAACCTGAGTCTGACTCTCTCTGGAAACTCAACATCTGAAAAAACAATCGACATGAAATAATGTTTTTGCATACTTCTAAGAATGAAAAGATACTAAACTATTAACTACATACCGTCATAGCTCGGTGGTAGAGGAATATGCTTTACTCCACATGCTTGTACAGCATTAACTTTGTGAGCATCACCTGCAAGAAGACATTAGATAGTAATTCAGAGTATATAAGAGGGTATGAAGAGATATTATATTATTACAAAAGTCTATGTGCATCCATTCACTTACACAAAGTACGAGTAATACTTCTCGACAGATATCTCCACATCTTAACCGATGAAGATGAACAAATTGATAGGTTGTTTTGAAAACAACTGTTCACTCCGTTCACTGAACTTACTTAACCTATATGAGGCACACAATTTTAATCTCTTTCCACTTCAAGTTTTCGTAAAATTTCCATGCTAGATGGTGAAATGCTGAATAAACTCTTGCAGGTCTTCTATATTTCAAAAGGTAAATTTTTCAAGAATCATGACCCATAAAAATATTCTGCATACACCACCATGGTCAGAACTGGTCAGAACATCAGGGCTACCAAACTACGTGTTAATTCTCGTGGCAATCGTTAGTGCTGCGCTCGAGCGAGCAGTGCTTTGCAGCGCAGTTCCGTGTGGCCGCAGTAGTGCAATGCTACCACACTTCCCTGCTGTGTAGCCATCCCTATCCTCTCGGACATCTATGGCTGATCTGAAAATTGAGAAAAGAACATGGTCAGGAAAGACAATAGCCGTTCGGCGCGCTTTTGGCGATCTTTAACGCAATTTCCATGCAAGTATTGGCGTCTCGCCTATTGTAGCATATCTCTCGGGCGCTTGTACGTGGCCGTGGGATCCGGCTCGTACAAAGATAGATTTATTATTATGACATTATTTGACGTATTTAATTTTGAATAGATTTTTTCGCTAAGTTTTAAAAGTGCTCTTCTAGGAGCGGTAGTTTTACTGCAACGTGTAAATCTGCGATTCTAATAATCATTGGCGCGCACAGTAGAATATTCTACGAATACAGTAGAATATTCTACTATTCTACGAAGGCTCTCATTTTGAACTACTTGCAACTTATTTAAGTGTGCATCAATGCGCCGCTATTCCCCAACTTGGGCAGGCGTAGTCCATAAAGGGCCTAATCATGGCTTTATATATAAGCAGGGCATTCGCTGTGGACAGTTTGCTTCGCTTATGTTATAAGCTTCGCAACATGGCCAGGCGTTGCCGTGCTTTACTAGAGGCCGCGTCCGCGTGTTCGCGGAAAGTTAG